TCAAAAAACCCCACTGCATTTTTAATAGTACTTCATGTTATTTATGACTGTTTGCCATGAAAATGAGACAGATACTTTCACGTGTGATTCTTTTAGAAGGGTGGGGCTGTTTCATAGGTGCACCGTGGAATTAAATTAATAATAATAAAATAAATAAATAATAAGTAAAGCTAAAGCTATCTGTGGAATTCCCCAGTGCATCAACACCCTTCAGCCATATTTTAGTAAACTCAGATAAGCGTGGCAGTTCTTAATCAATGTGGTGGCAGCTCTGGATATAGGGCCACATGCCCTACAGGGTACAGAACCTAAATCCAAAACCTGCTGGCCCAGTCACAACAGTATTACCAACAAAGCTATCTTTACACAACAAGCCAAATCATCAAGTTGCAGCTTTATTAGTTCACTAGAACAGAGTATGTATGAAATCTATAAATTCTCTGGAAAGCTGTAAGCTATCCCCGCTGCCTATGACTGTAACTTGTATTTCTTGATTCTTGCTTTGGCTGAAGACACCAGACAGTGCCAAGATCATCTGGCAGGTGTTTGTGCCCTCTACTGGATGCAGTCACACTTCACTATTACTATATGTCCTATGCTGCTAACAGCTAAGGAAGAGATGCTCTTTGACTGAATCTGATGTATTTATGGTGCTCAACAACATACATTTCTGCTTAAAAATAATACAAACAACCCCCAGAACAGGCCTCTCTACAAAAAAAAAAAGCGAATAAGCAATATTCTTTCTCTTTCCCCTGCCATCCTTCCCTTTTATATTTTCACAATACAAGTAATTTTGTATGCTGGATACAGAAGTCTTGTCCTTAGAAGTGAAACAGAGTTTTGCTAGGGAATTGAGCAAGGCCAAGATTTAAAAATAACACAACTTTTCCCCTTTTGTGCCTTAATATAGTTCTGTTTTGTTGGTGGTTTTTTGGTGTGATTTTTTGTGGGGGTTTTTTGGGCGGGGCAGGGGAGGGCAGGTTGATGGCACCTTCATAAAATAAAATACACTTACATTCCTGGATGGGTAAGAGAGAGTAAAGAAAGCTTGTTTCTCAGAAAATTTTAAGGGAGCCTTTCTTATCAATTTTTCGTTCTCTATAAATTAGAACAGTATGAGAGTGCAGTGTCCTGCTGTTCTAGGAATTTTGCTCAATGCTTTGCATACTGATATATGACTGACCCAATACACTGACACATCTGTCTTAAATCAACATTAAAACATGAATATATTTTATACCTGCAGGTTGAGGAAGACTGCAAGTGAACTGTGTCTTCTATAAAGGCAAATATCTTCCAAGTATACTGGAATAATTTTAAAAAAAAATATAAAAGGATATAAGTTTATTCAAATATATACAGTTGAAATATACAAATACATTACTGTTTTTGCAAAGGACCAAAAAGTTTAGAATTTGAGTCAACAAAACCAGAATGACTTCAGTTGGATTATGGTTTCAATAAACGTAACTTTAACAATGATAGAAATTTTTATAGGGTAAAATGATTTTATAGATGACCTCATATACTTCTGCACCCTACCAAATTTGTAGAGAAATTATTGCATACACATTTCATGCTTATTCCACATAGAATTTTTAATTTAACTACATATCTAGCACTGACTTAAACCAATTTTGTTCTTTAAACAGCAATTCGAGAGTATAACCAAGATTTTTTGAAGCATTTACATTATTGCTTTGTGTAATTATTGTTAGCAATTAAGATATTAAACCAATAACTATTCTGGATTAAAAAAAGTTTTAATTCAAATCAGATACAGTTACTAAAAACATACGTTGTCCTTCAAAGCACAGCATACTTGAGGGGGTTTTCCTGTTAGCTATATTGGCCCAAGTACACAGCTGCTACTCTTCACAACAGAAATGACAATGGAAAAAAAATGCATTAATTAGTCCATGCACAGGTCCATCTGCTCACACCCTGTCCCAAATCCTGCCACTTGTACATAGTGAACTTTTGCCAGGGACCATGCCTGTTAGGGTCTGTAAAGGCATCAGTTGCCTGAAGCCAGCTGTGGGGTGGCCACTAACACCTCTAACAGGTCTTTTTCCCTTCTCTTGGCAGCCAGGGGTTTCTTAGGGGGAATGGGATTAAAGCAACTACTGTTACTCCCTCGTGGAGCTATTTCGGTGATGGATCCCAGACCACCCAACCCAGGGTAAGCAGTATCTGCTGGATCTGCTGCTCAGCAAGAATGTGGAGACATATTCCATTGGACTTGGCCACTAGAGGACACCACTGGAGGTCTTCCTGGGAAACGCATAAAAATCTGACAGAAAACCACATGGTTGGAATGCAATTCTTTTCTGAATTCTAGAAAACCTTCTCTGGTCAGGACAACATAAGCATTTCATTTCATTTCATCTAGATGGTAACAAGTCTATATTGATCTAAGTCATAAAGCAACATGTGATCTAGATGTCTACAACACATTGCCTTATGGCTAAAGTGGTTCTGCCTTAATTTTACCAACTATTTGTTGCTAATCTGTATAAACTTCATACAATAAAAACACAAAGACTAAAACAAGTACATAAAAAGGTTATCTTTATTCTTTTGGGTTGTTAGCAATGTAGTTATTTTTGGTAAAACAACTTCCTGCATGCAGTTCATCAGTACACTATAAGCCAATAGTTTCTATAAAAGCAGGAGCCCAACTATATACTAGTTCTTTTGTAAGAAATGCAAGGTATTCCACTGTCCATTGCACAAGTTCACTATTCATTCTCATAAAGAAAGATTTGGAATAACAAATTACATTTAAAGCACTTCTACTGCAATACGAATCAACAAGAAAAGCAAACTGTGTGAGACTAACACTGGGGAAAAGCAATGGTTCTATGACTAAGATGACCCTGAAAATTGACAGACAGGATTATAATTTCAAAAGAAACCCTTCTATCTCGTTTCACATATGAGGACCTACTTACCGATCAGAAAAAGAACTGTACTGTGCATTTCTTTTAAAATTATTCCTTATTAAAATATGTTTAATATAATTAGCAGAAACTTGCAATTACCAATTCACATTGTATCTTAGGTTTCCCAACAGTAAAGTGTCACAGATAGACAGCAATAAAAATTACTAACAACATGAAGATATGTTTTGTTTCTTATAAGTATAAAATGTTATAAAATAAAACTATCTTCAAAATAACAAGAATAGATCAATAGATATATATTACAAAAGTTTTTTTTCTAGCCCCACATTTTAAGCAATATATGTCCTGTGTAGTCTGGTTATTTACTGCATATTTGTGGATTACAAAACTCAAACAAAATAAAATCTATAATAGCAGCAAACTATTGCTTACTGGTATGAGGAATGGTGGTCTCATCAAACAGTTTTTTTCTTTTTACCACTCACATGACTTCCCGTCTTAGACTTTAATAGCTGTAGGATAATAGCAGCAAGCATGCGTCAGTTAAAGCTTCCCAGTTATTTGGAGTATTACAGAATATATCATATTATCTATTGAAATGTTATAAGCTACACTTACTAGGGTACATATTTGATGCAATAAATACAGTACTTAGGTCACTGTCTCTTTGTTCAAACAGGTACCATTGCGTAAAACAACTGATTAAATAACAGAGGATATTTTACTTACATATATAGTGTCAGCCTTGATAAAAGAGCCATCTAAACCACAATGCAGGACAAAGCCAATTTAAGCACATCCTTTTGTCATCTCAGCTTTCTACGGAAGATTGCCTTACATACAATGGCAACTTGACTAAAGTGCCATGGGGGGAGGGGTGGAGTCAAAACCACCTCTGATATACATATTTTGTGTCTCTGGCATGACCCATTCTTCCAAAGTATGGAAATTTAAGCCTGAGGTATACATTAAGGTAGTATTTGTCCCAAAAGGTACTTTGCTATCATTTTATCCATGTAGCTTTGATTATTGTCCTAAGTGGGATATATTCATGTGAAATCAGAAGTGTAGAAACAGACTTTGGAATGAAGTATGGAAGCTACTCATGAAATCATAGGGTCTACAGTTAAGAAAAGAAAAAAAAGACTACCACTTTTTTTTTATTTCAGTAATTCCCTGCAGGCACAATTGGCATTTGTAGCTTTTCTGCAACATGAACTGTTTAAATCTCTCAGGAATTATGAGATATCTTGGACTCTGAAAGTAACTTTTTCATAGTTTCACTTTTTCAAAACAGGAGTTGCATGGGTAGCATCATTTATTTAAATCACTTTATCTGAAATGGACTGTATAATGAATTAAGAATTACTAAAAAGTACTTAACATAAGTATATTAAAACCAAGAGACTAAACTACCAACCTCTTTTATGTGAAAATTATTCCCTTGTTTTGTTTTCCAATAAATTGGCTATCTATACTCTGGTCTTTTTTATCATTTGCTGTTGATTTGATGTAGGATCCTGAGGTTCAATAATCTGGAATCTTGGCTTTCTGCTTTTAGAAGTGGCTTGAAGAGAACTATGTTCATATTATGTTGCCATAATTATGTGTTCCTGGCATGTGTGTTCCTCTGCAAGAGTATTAAGTTTTCTTGTCAGCACAGCAAAATTACAAATAGCAGTATATTAATTAAAGCAAATGAGATCATGAAAAAAATTGACACACATAGAACATACATAGGAGATTAAATGTACATAGTGGATACACTTATTCCACAAAAATATAGATTTATTAGGACTGGTAATTTTGCACTCCATTAAGGAATCCTACAGTCCAAGTGGGAATTTTGTGTCTCCTCTCCATTAGTGCCAGTTGATAATAAAAACTATTTTTCTGGCAAGGTTATTTCCCTGTTAAAGGCAGAGTTTGCTAGTGAAGGGTCATTGTCTTGGTACAGGCACTGACTATAGCAGTGGGTAAATATGTAAAAACTTGTAATTTTGGCATAATCCTCCAATAAGAATGCTATTGATAAAAATGTCATCTTCTCAGGCTTGTGGGCATTCATCATGGACAACTTCTTTGTGTCTCTTACTTTTTATTTCCTTTTCTGTCTTTTCCCTTGTCTTCTTTTTCTGATTTGTCATCTTCATATTTTTCTTTTTCTGGCTTTGTTACACTATCATAAGAAGGCGGAGATGTGGTGGATGCACACATATCCATTTTATCTGCAGGTGAGTTTTCACTTAGCTTACCAATAATCGTATCTTTTTTGATAAGCAGATCAACCCCATCTTTGCGATACATAAACGAAAGTTTCTTTACTGACTGTCTTAAAAGATAATGTCTATAAGCACGCTGAATGACAGTAGCGGACACTTCCTCCTGTTTTCGTTTTAATGTAGTTGTAATTGGTTCATAGGAGACTTTTGAAGGATTGGCTGCCATAAATCGATCTTCCATCTGTATTCTGAGGGCATCCATCTCATCACTTTCCCCCAAAACACGCTTTGTGAAAGCAAACAAGATGTCAAGGCAGTGAATTCTGTCACCGCTTACCATGGGCAGATCCATTGCAATAAGCTGAATTGTGTTTGGTTTTGGTATATTAAGAGGAGGATCCAGAGAAGCTGCAAAATCAGACAATTTGCTATATTCTATGAATTGTGTTGCATCAGGATCATATTTTTCCCAGACCTCATAGAACATCTCAAAGTCATCCTCGCTCAAGGGTTCAGCGCTTTCTTCAGTAGCAACACTGAAGTTCTCCAAAATCACAGCAATGTACATGTTCACCACTACCAGAAACGATATGATAATGTAGCTGACAAAGAAGAAAATCCCAACGGAAGGGTTGCCACAGTCACCTTTAACAGAGCTTCCTGGATGAGCTTTGTTTGGGTCACAGTCTGGTGGCTCACTATTAAGAATTGGGTCAAGCAAACCATTCCAGCCAGCAGATGTGGTAATTTGAAATAGGCAGATCATGCTGTTGCCAAACGTTTCAAAGTTGAACATGTCATCTATACCAGCTTCCCTCTTAACATAGGCAAAGTTGGACATGCCAAATATTGCATAGATGAACATGACCAGGAAGAGCAGCAGCCCAATGTTGAACAAAGCAGGAAGAGACATCATCAAAGCAAAAAGCAGAGTGCGGATCCCCTTAGCGCCTTTAATGAGACGCAGGATTCGACCGATTCTGGCAAGTCGTACAACTCTGAACAAAGTGGGGGACACAAAGTACTTTTCAATCACCTTGGCTAGAAACATACCTGTGAAACAAAATTAAAATTAAAAGGGTAAGATTTTATCACAGATTACATTTTTCACAAAAAAGTATGAATAAAGAACAATTCTACCCGTGGAATTACTGGAAATTATAATTGGAGATAAATTTTATCTCCTATGGGTAATTTTAGCTTTTTTCCCAGCACTCTTAGGAAAAAAAAAAAGGAATATTAAAATTACTATAGAATTATTAAGAAAGTTACTAAAGTATGCTTTTCATTTCCTAAATAATCAGAAGAAATTAAGTATTTCCTCTAATTTGACACAGATCATACATTTAATACATATCTTACTATATGTAATTTTGAATATAAGAATTTCTTACCTACTATTGAAAGAATAACAACCACAAAATCAAAAATATTCCAGCCAACAGTGAAGTAATAATAACGAAGCGAGAACAGTTTGAAGACACATTCTCCAGTGAAAAGCACAACAAAGACCAAGTTAATCCAGTATAAAATATTTTGCATCAGTTCACTCTGTTCGTCTGTTTCTATCATCATGGTGACCATGTTAAAACAGATGAGAACCATAATGGTGATGTCAAATGCTTGCTTTGTTACTATATCAAATACCAGACCTTGCAACTTGTTCTGAGGGGAGAAAAAAGAAAAGGTGATAGTGCCTTGTACGTAATGAACATCCTTTTCCTCCCTCTCATTTTCTTCTTCCTCCCCCAAAATACACAACCACGCAAAAGGCTGAAAAAAAAAATCTAAGAAAAATACTGTCCAATAACTTATTTGCCAGCTCTAAGCTTTCCCCTCAAAACCCAACAGATTTCTTCAGATTCTTTGATTCTCTACCTCCTCAGGCATAACAAATATGAAAGATTTTTCCTGCAAAACAGAAATACGTACATGTTTCAATTCAGAATGAAGGGCTAACTTTAATTAGGGCTAACTTGAATTAGGCCTAACTCTGAATTTTAGAGTTAAAGGAAAAAAATTTTGATAGTTAATGTATTGCTGCAATTTCTTCCCAAATGTAGATGATAGAAGAATAGCACACATTCTTACCGCTGGTCTAGGTATAGGTTTTTGTGGTTTCTTGGATCCCAGTTTCTTCATTGCATTGTAGTATTTCTTTTGTTCTTCTGTCATAAAAATGTCTTGACCTCCAAGGTAAAATAATAAAAATAGAACTGATCACAGCCGAGCCTTTAAATCCATTAATTCACAGCATTGCAGAACATGGTTTTGATGAACCATGTATTATTTCTTATACATTGTTGCCAAAACATAATAATTATATCAAAGATTGTTGAAATATCTGACAAGTCTTGATGGAAAAATAAAACAAATTAAGGAATGGAGAAAAGCCACATAACTTCTATCTATTTGCTATAAAAAAACCCAACACCCGATTCTTCATTTAAATACGTACCAGAAACCTTTGTAAAAATATACATTCCATAGATACTTAGAAATCTAACATCACAAATTCCACACTATAAATCAATCAACCAGAAATAAAAAAGCTTCAAAGATTGAAAGATTCACTGAGATCTGATATGCCTTCAGGGAAACCATATGAGGAAAAAGAAATTACTGATGTTACTTTTCAGGATGCACGTTTTATCATTTGAGTACAGGTATGTCAGTTCAGATTTTTTTTTGCCACGATAATACTTCTACAGTGTAAGGCTTGATCATCCCCCTATATTGTACAGAGATCATCAGAAGCATGGGCTCACTCTGGGGTTTCTTACCTGAGTAAGAGGACAGTACTCTGAGTAAAAGGGTATCTAGACCAGTACGTATAATACACACACGGAAACACTTGTCAGAAGTACAATTTATGTTGACAAGTAACTTTTTTTCTTTCATACATTTGTTTTTAAGTACATTCCAGGTATGGGTGATGCCAAAGAAGTGGCATTTGGAAACAAATTTCAGTCTCACAGGTGATTCTGTGACTTTGTCACACTGACTTTGTCAAATGCAGTCAATCTTATTGAGAAAGCAATGATGAATCTGGATAAAGATGTGTTTGAGTCAGCTGTGGCTACCTACAGACATGAAAATTTAGAAGTCAAAAGAGATCTTGTTTAGCATGCCCTCCTCATAAGCCAAATATTCAAATAAATGCAATTCTTACAGAGTAAGGGATTTGGATGAGAAACAAGAAATTACTTTGCTCCTATGATGGAAACATCAGGAGATTGTACCCATTGGGAAATAATAATAAAAAAAGCTATAAAGGAACTGACATTGAAGTGGGGATTTCTTCCAATGCCTCACTGATGAAATGGCTATGAAGACTGAACAAATCATAACTGTCTCAGTGTGCTGTCCATAGGGAGAATAGCAGTCTCAAGATGAGATACACCTTATATGCCTTTGAGGACTGTAATGGTTAGGAATTTTACAGCTAGTGGAACATTTTTTTCTCCATGGTAACTAATGTAATAAAAGCAGGATGCACACAGGGACCAAAGAAATGCACACAGTTTAACTACACAGGGACAGTATATATCAACACGAGGTCCTTCCCACTCATATCCCAACAACATTGCCCAAAATGGGGAGATATCAGTGATGTGAAGGCAGAACAAAGACAAGAAAAATACTGCTGGGCAGCCACACACTACGTGATCTGTGTATTTCTATGCGCACGGGTGCATCTATAAATTCAAAAGACAGGTGACTAATGTTTGCTGATTTGCTACGTGAAGCTGCAGAATAGCATGTAGATAGAATTTTCCCCAGCCTAATTGTTGTCCTTTGTGATATCTGCAGTATTTGACTCGGTGACAGTTAGAACAGCTACAAATGTACCACACTGCCAGAAAAAGCCCTTTAGCAGGAATCCTTCTCTGCCTTCTGAGTCATAATGACTACAGTAGACAGTGTCTGCCAAGTGAACTTAATAGAATTTATAATCACCTCATTACAGAGTAAGGTCACCTTGTTACATACAGAGTGCCAAAAATGCCAATAACATGTGTATAACCTTAGTCATCTTCTCCAAGGATAAGAAACTGAACCACCTTCCTCTTAAATACAGGAAGCCCCTGAAGTTTATTTGAATGGAGGTGCAAACGTCTTGGAGGATGAAGATGTCATCAGCTTTGGAACCATAAAATCATCCTTTCTATTATATGAGTCTGCAGATAAGACTCAAAGGATCTGAAGAAGCAACATATGAAGCTGCATGCTCCAGTCTGAAGTGGAAAGATTTACTGGAAGTTCCCACTGCAGTAAGGCTAGCAATATTTTTTTTCAGTACAAAGAATGACACTTGACAAACCATCAAGAATCACAAATGAAGAAATTATGTACTGCCTTGCTATTACTTAGCTCACTTTAAAAAAAAAAAATTTATTCCAGTATGATTCTGCTCCAAATGTGTACAGAAAAATAAGACCACTGTAGACCTTAGACAGCGTTTATAGTTTAAATAGTAAGTAGAACTTAGTTTGCCATCATAGTCTGCATTTTAATCTATTTAAATGCTCCTGGAGTTCTTGACACAACCCTGTGTTCATTTGAATAACAGAAACAATTTCAGTTGAAGAAAAACTATACATTTGCAAATGTCAACAATTTTCTTTCTCTTGCAAATTCATTAACTCATGAGACAGCTTCCCAACCCTCTCTAATCTTACAATACAGAGCAGTAGTTCCAGCATTCAGCTTGTCTGTATTAGTCTCTTTGTAATTGAGAAAGCCTCCATAGTATTGCTATACGTTATTAATTTTGATATTTTTGCATATTCTTTTCTTCCCTATCACCTATTTGCTTGAATTAAGTCATTTGCATTTTCACATAGCTTTGTCACAGCACTGTAAGGGTAAGCAAAAAACAATACATAACTTTCTGATGTACAACATATCATTGGGCTGTACAGGGATGTGGAGAACACACACACTTGGTGTAAGTTTAAATTACTTCAAATGCCTTAAAAAGCAAAGACTATTGTTTCATTATTTTGAATAGAATAAAAGGAAATCTTAATAGCTGATTTCTTTTTCTTTTTTTTCTATTACTATAAGAAATTTCAGACACTCATTTATCCTTGCATACATTTGCTGAATGCTTAATAACAATAAATAATAACGTTGTGAAAATGATACGTGATACTTATCTTTTTTTTTTGTTGGTTGAAGTTATCTATGATGACACCAATGAACAAGTTTAGGGTGAAAAACGATCCAAAGATGATAAAGGCAACAAAGTAAATATACATGTACAGGTTGTCCTCATATTTGGGCTGTTTCCCTGTCTATGTAACACAGAAAAACAGCAATAGATCACAAATAACAGTTAAGACAAATTACAGAATACCAAGCAGAAACAGAAGTCACATCCATATGGACAGCAACTCCTTGACAAGGGGGGGGGAAACCAGCCTTTTTGGAGCGTACCCGACGATTGGCTTGTGTTTGAACATGAAAATCTATTGAATACAGGTGTCTGTAATTGCACACAGAGACCTGCCATTCCTCCCCTTTCTGTCTGCCAGTTCCTCTCTAATGACATTTGATGTTTCACGTAATTCCTACTAAATTTGTCAGAATGTGCAAATCTCAAAAGCAATTCCGTTCCTATAGATTTTATGCAAATCAGGAGTTGGATAGGGGAGAGATGCAAACAAATACCAGCATTAACAGGAAAACAGGCAAAATTCAGCCATTTTATTTTTTGAGATCACCAAAGTCTGCAGCTCTGCATTAGCTATTGCAAGTGATGTCACTTGATTATTTGGGTTATTTTGGAGACACAGGAAAAACTTGTTTCCTAATCTGTATAATCTCAGTGACAAAAATTAATAGGAAACCAGATTTCATCAGTTTTGTTATTTACAGATGACGTATTAAATTAGTAATACTTTATGTAGATCTACTGCTATAATTTTTTTACCTATTAAAAGTATATGGACTTAACTACTTCATAGTGCATAGATTTATATATAAAAATTATCAAGGTTTTACATTTTTATTCTTTATCTTTCACTTTATTTCAACTGTCATTCAAGAAGCATTACATCAATCTTGTATTTGTTTTTCACTCACAGTAAATTTTATATTGCACTCACTTCTCTAGAATCAACTGCAGCATACATGATCTCCATCCATCCTTTAAACGTTGCCTAAAAACAAAGTTTGTTAATATTTTCTATCAGAGCTCCAATTTTATAAACATTCTAAATAAAACACTGTCTTCTGCAATGTATTTGCACCCACAAAAATCAAAAGGAATATTAAAAGTTTGGTAAGACACAAGTTAAGTATTCACAGGAAGTAATTTACTGTGGAATATTTCTCTCTAATACTTAAGCACTGAATAAATTCTAATCTTCATGCAAATTCATGTAAACTCTACGTAGGACAAGTTGCAATCAATATCTGGGCATAACAGAAAGACTGCAATTTATAACAAGGCTCTCAGTTCTAACTTTCTGAGTACCAAAAAACTGGAGGATGACTCCAAAAATCTGCAACCATAGGTTGGCATTTTTCAGGCAGAATATGTGAATAGTCCTAGAAGAAACTGCAAAAGATAAGTGGTCCCAAGAAATCTTAAGAAAATAACAGAATCATAGAATGGTTTGGCTTGGAAGGGACCTTTAGAGATTATCTAGTCCAACCCCTCTGCCAGAGGCAGGGACATATTTCACTACATCACATACTTTCAACGATAGTGCATCCACAACTTCTCTGGGCAACCTGTTCCAGTGTCTCATCACCTTATCTTTTTTTTTTTTTTTAAATGATAAGGTGAGTCCTTCTATCCAATCTAAATCTACCCTCTTTCAGTTTTAAACCATTGCCCCTTGTCCTGTCAGCACAGGCCTTGAGAAAAATTTTCTCTCAGTATTTCTTATAAGCCCCTTTATATATTGAAAGGCCACAGTAAGGTCCCCCTGGATCCTTTTCTTCTCCAGGCTGAATAACCCCCAACTCTCAGCCTGTCTTCACAGGAGAGGTGTTCTAGCCCTCTGATCTTTTTCTTAGTCCTCCTCAGGACCTGCTCCAAGAGGTCCATGTCTATCTTGTACTGGTGGGGTCTCATGAGAGTGGAGTGGATGGAGAGAATCACCTCCCTTGATCAGTTGGCCACACTTCTTGTTATGCATCCCAGCATATGATTGACTTCCTGGGCTGCAAGTGCCCCTTACCAGCTCATGTCCAATTTTTTGTCCATCAGTATCCCCAAGTCCTTCTCTGCAGGGCTGCTCTCAATCTATTCATCTTCAAGTCTGTACTGATACTGGAGATTGCCCTTACCCCGGCACAAGACTTCGCACATGGCCTTGTTGAACTTCATGAGGTTCACATGGGCCCATTCCTCAACTCTGCCAAGGTCCCTCAGGATGGCATCCCATCCCTCTAAGTGTATCAACTGCACCACTCAGCTTGTGTCATCTGCAAACTGCTGAGGATGCACTCAATCTATGTAACTGATGAAGCTATTAAATAGTATTGGTTCCAGTGTAGACCCTTGAGAGACACCACTTGTTACTGGTTTCCACTTGGACATTAAGCCACTCATTAGAAGTCTTCGGACACAGCCATTCAGCCAATTCCTACTGGGCCTTCCATCAAACCTACTCCTGTGAGCTGTCATATTAAGTAACCGTACCATTCCTACCTTGTCTTTAGAGGAAACCATTCTATGCAAGATACGTTACAAAAGCTAAAAGCATTGCTGTCCTCTACACTGGTAATTTATGCAAATGCCTAGCGCTATTTAGCAATAGCTACTGTTACTCCCTGGAGCAATCAGATGGTAGCCTGCTAGCACAATACTAACTACTAAATACTACCAGTTAGAGGTTTTTAAAGACAGAATAATTACCAACTTCTTATGAGCACAAATATTTTCCCAGAAGCAGTTTGTCAAGCGAACTCGATTAGGAATATATGTTTCTGTCCTATTGGCTACAATTTACAGATGCTGCCTCTAAAAAAGGCTTGTGCTTAGAAATCTAGCACTAGTAAATTCTGCAACTGCTCATCTGGAGTTTAAAAACAAGCTAAAAAACTATCTCCAAAAAACCTACTTGACAAGAATAGACAATGAATGGAGTGGGACTAGTAAGAATGATAAAAAGGGAAAGAAGAGAAAGGAAAAAGTGAATTTAAATTTTTTTCTAAATCAATAGTTGGTTCTCTTCTTCTTTGAATATCAGATGAGCCCTAGAATGTATCTATTCGACTATCATGGTAAAAATCTAAGTCAACATGCCTCAACAGATCAAGCAAATAAAAGAAAATTAATCCTAGCAGCATTTTTTTATTTTTACCAGATACTATATATCTGTGGAACTTGCAAAAGAACTAGCAGTTGGGTCCAAAGGAACTTTATATCCATCTGGTAGATATTAGATATTCCTCCTCTTCCAAAATGGCCATGAAATATAGAATGTATCAGATTTTTACCATAATCAATATTAATTAGCTTCATAGAACACAATCAAAAAATCAAATCCCATATCCATTAATATATTGTAAAATAACACTAAAAATTATGGAATTAAATGTTACTTCCACAAAACTTTAAGCTGGAAAATTAATTTATCAAAATTTATACACTTACTACTTGAAGCAGAGAAAGATAACCGGCTCCAACATTATCAAAGTTTACTTTCACATTTTTCCACCGAACATTCGGAGAAGTCTTCATAAGATTTTCACACATAGTTACATTATCGACTTCCTTTAGTGAGATTTCCTCACCAGTTGTGGTGTTAACACAGTGATAGAACTTGCCAGCAAACAAATTTACTCCCATGATGCTGAAAATTAGCCAGAATGTAAGACAAACCAGAAGTACATTCATAATGGATGGGATTGCTCCAGTAAGAGCATTCACAACCACCTAGTAAATAAACACAGAAAACCACACTTTTTAAAAACAGTACGTAGACCAGTAAAAGTATTTTTTTTTAACTGTAGCAAAAGATTAAATATAAAACATTAAAATACACTGACATAATGCCAATAGAAAAGGAATAACACATATAATAAAATCAAACGTGCTACTGTTGTCCTTGAAAACACACATGCAGTTTAGCGTTCCTCCACAATTTTAAAATTAGGCATATTTTTATGGATTTGTTTTACAGACTATTTCTTTTTTTCTTACCCTCATGCCTTCAAAGCGTGACAAAGCTCTTAGAGGTCTCAAAGCTCTTAATGTTCGGAGGGACTTAATTGCACTGAGTTCTGAGAAACCAAGGGCATGAGCTACTAAGCTAACCAACGAGACCTAGAGGAAATCAAACAAAAGAATTTTGGTTTTTTTCATAGCCTCACAATAGAAATGTAATGCCTAGAGGAAGAAAACTTTGATATGGGTATAAGAAAAAAGTTCGTAAGGACTCTAAGCTTCTAGCAAGAACAAATAAAAAAGAACAAAAAAATTTAAAAATTAATAGAAAATTGTGGGTAAATTTCAGAACAGTTTAAACAAAGCGAGAACTTAATCTCTAGAATTTTCATCACAGAGAGAGTGTTAAAAAAATGCACCTGTGCAAAATGAAAAACATTTTGGATAAGAAGATTTGAATACAAGCTCATCTTCCCAACAAACTCAGTCAAAGCCTGAAACGTACTGAAAACCTATCCCCATTCTACCTGACGTTACAATACTAAACAGTGATCTGCTACAGATGCATTATTATAGTTATGATAAAATGTGAGCCAGCAGCATTTGGTTCCATTAATTTGCACTTAGAATAATTCACATAATAGCAGATATATGAATAACTAGTAATTCATATCGCCTACAGATGATTATAGACTTGGAAGTGGTACATAGTCAGACGGTACTCTGACATACGTGACTCTTAACTGAATGACAGACACAAAGAAATACCAATGTCAAGACAATTACTTAAAAACAATGTACTCAAATGCATAGAACAGCAGACAGCACTTTCCTGGGAAGTGTAGTTAGGACAGAGTTAATAATTTGTGAGCCATAGCTTGTTGTCTCTTCACACTACTGCAATTTGGATATTTAAAAATCATAGTATCAAGTACCAGAAGAAAATCTATGTTTACCTCCATTTGTCAATGAGCACTGTTTCCAGTGTTTGAAGTTCTAAACTGAAGTTAAAAATTCTAAGTCCAAGAATGATCAGGAAGCTGGCAGATATGTTTTCAAGTTATCTGCCTTAGAGTACTGAAATGGGTTAAACAATGGCACATTGTAAAATACATAGACAACAAAAAGAAAGTGGCTAATCGTTTGTGTGTTTTAAACATAGTATGCAATCTTTTAATAAAATCAGGGGCAATTTAAAAAAAAAATCAATACATGATTTTTTTGTAAGTCACACAAACTAGATAAATCCAAATTAACTCAGGGAACTCAACATCTATGCAATATATAAAATACAAGGCAGTGATTACTACAATGCCTTATCATGGATGACTATACACCTGTATTTATGAAATAACCCACATAAAACTTCAGATAATTCAGCTGCTAAAGTAGTCATAAATTAGGCCATGTAGTTCAAGAGAAACAAATTTCATTAAAAAAAGGAAAAAAGAAAACTAGGAGAAGATCCAGAAAAAGAACACATTCACTGAGTGGAAAGGCCTTCGTCTATGCCACCAATCTGATTTCCCATACAAACTCAACTATAACACTCAGTTTCAGAGGACTGTTCTTTAAATTCAAATGTTAGACAAACATTTAGCATAAAAAGCATTAATCCACATGAATCCTTCAAGACCTTAAGATCATTACTGCTTACTTTTATAATCCTAGAAAAGATATAGAGAAAATGTTTCAAGTATTCCTGTCAGATAACCATATTTTCTTAGATAATGCAGTTGTTATATTTGCATTGCAAGAAATCCTCAGCCTGTAAGATTAGCACATCTTTACTTAATGATGCCATAATTTTATCTTTCTTTGGAAACTAAAATACAATTTAACACATTGCTTTTTTCTGCTTTTTTTGGAGTGGAGAGAGGAGAGGGACGATAGTTCATCTCAACACATGATGCTGATAGCAATTAAAGCTTAATTTTTCTGGTACCATCTGTGGATGTATGTGCATGCAAGCATTTTTTAATTTTTTTTTTTTTTAATAAATAATTTCCTCCTCTTCCTTAAGTACAATCATGGTTTGGACAACTCCTAGTACCACCTCTGAACCTTCTTCCACATGTAAAAGTGCTAACTGTAACATTCCTGTGGTGTAAAATTAGAAAATAATATTATATACTTTCACCAATACAGTAAATTCAAAAGGTGTACTGTAACAAAAAAGGGTAAATGTAAAAAACACACTTTAATGATACGTGTCAGACAGAATCCATCTGCCACTTCATTGCAACTTTCTGTTCTTGTAGCTACCAAACAGCATTTTCAGAAAAGCACATTGTTAACGTAAGGTGGAAACATCTTTGGATTTGTTAAACTGTTTGTTATGGACAATAAATGTGCCTTGAGATTTATTTCCTCTTTCAACATCATTACTCTCGTGGAAGGGACAGTCTGATCCACAAGAATTTTTGAAACCTTTAGGACAGCTGGATTAACAGCTCAAAAGCTGATTGTCCTGCTGTTTTCTGGTCAGTCAGTGACTTCTGTCTCACAGTGCTTTCCCCTCCAGATGGCTGCCTCCTGTTGCATTTACACATGAGGAAGCCTTATGAAGATTTCTTTCGTCTAAGGGTAGTTCAAGAAAGCTGTCAAACGCTACACAGTCCTATGCTCGTTCTTTTTCATTATATCCTTTGAACTTGCACATGGAAGGCTGGGCAGAACCAGCATTTATATGTGGTTTGGGGCTAATTATGCTTTTCTGGAAATACTGTGAGCATCACAATGGGTAAGAATTTGCGTTTGTATGCTCTAAGTTCTTTCCCAAATAGGGGACAGCTGGAGAGTTTAGACTGATAATGAGGCACTGGAACAGGCTGCCCAGAGAGGTTGTGGATGCTCCATCCCTGGAAGCGTTCAAGGCCAGGCTGGATGGGGCTTTGGGCAACCTGGTCTAGTGGAGGGTGTCCCAGCCCATGGCAGGGGCATGATCTTTAAGGTCCCTTCCAACCCAAACCATTCTAGGATTCTATGATCCTATGAAATGCAAATTTAATTATCACAAGGTTCTGGAAACATACTATCTTGGAATCCTAACAGGAAATGAGACTTGTCCCCACCCCTCCTCTTTTGCCATCTTCTTGATTTCCTGATACCATTCTCAATTGCAGTTCTTTACCAATGATTCATTAAGCCCAGGATTAGCTGTCCTACCCCAACCCCATGGGCTCACTTAAATTTCCCTTTCCTTTCTGTGTCTGCTTCCTCCTTGTTCTCTGTCACCAAATCCAGAAGACTGAAGTCCAATTAGCTGATAGTCCTCACTCACTGCTTGGGACCCGGCTCAGTAAAACACAGACAGAACACATGGAGTCAATGACAGTAAAGATAAAGGTAGATTTAGTTACTCACTGAGTAATTACAATGGAATCTTATTCACTGGTATGTCATGTTGTGGGGTGCCAGACTTATCCAGGCTTG